CGGTGGCTGTTTGCCTCCACTTACATGATTTTTGCCGGTTTTACATGTATCCATGCGGAAAAATACATTAGGGGGCTTTGGTTGGCCAAAACTAATAGAAAATTCGAACCTACCGACGCGGGCTCTCCGAGTGCGGTGACTTCGCCAGTTCTCATTCGCGGCTGAGATTTCTTCTTTGGCTAACCTGCACATAAAAGGACGGTGAACAAAATGGTTAGAAAATTGCGTGAAACGAAAAATGAGAAGGGGCTCATCGGAGAGGGTTTTGGGTTTCGGTCACAGCGGCTCCACCGGATTTTACCCGCGATTTTTGACTCACTTACCGTCCATCTTGTTCTAATATGACCACATGGAGGCTTGGAATCTAATTTTGAGTGTGTAGGGAGAAATTTTACATTTTTTGACGGTCGGCGTTTTCTCCGGTGCAGCGACAATCGACCTTCTTCTCCAGCGGCTGGTCCTTCTTCTCCGGTGAGGGCACGGGGACTAGAGTTAGGATTCCCCTGCGATGCGATATTTTTATACTCATTCTGCGTCAATTTGGGCTGTCCATTCACATCAACATGGAGCGAGGAGAGCTGCCTGATCGTAGCCTGTTTAGGCCAATTGCGTGAGCAAATATGGACCATTCATCACAATTAATCTCGTCTATCCGATTGCACATAAGGAAGGAACAAATCTGAGGTGTTCATGCGCGCGAGATCGAACTTGGACCGTCGAATTGCTGGGCATGCAGATCGCCCATGTGGTGCTGATGTCAGCGTGTTTTGCCACGTGACGTGCTTTGATTCATCGGGGCTGCTGACTAGGCCGTCCCACATGATCAAATTCTTTTTTTTTTATTTTGACTTCCTGTTTCTAATTTTTCTTTCAAAAGCATCCAATGAACTCAAATTTTCACACATTTTCTCCAAAACTGCTCATAACCGATTTTTCTCAAATAATTTAATAAAATTAAATTATAAATAATTTTTTAATTATTTTTATAATTACCAAAATTGATTTAGAGTTAAAATTTGAGGTCAGGTATTACATGATATTACTAAGTTGATTAATGTTCGTTTTATATACTATAATATACATGTCGTCTCACATAATATTTGATATGATGAAAATTTTAAATAATATTTATATTAGTGAAAATAAAAAATATATATTTCTATTTCTTTCTTCTAAAACTATTTTATTTTCTTTTATTTTCATTCTCTTCAAATATAAAGATAATTATATTACAAAAAAAAAAGTAAAAATTAATAAACTATCTATTCATTAACTTCTGTATACCCTTTATTTAGAAGTTTATATTGATTCAGGATGATATCTGATTAGGGTGGATCAGGACTAAATTGAGATAAAAAAATCTCTAATTTGTGGACTAAAGACAGAACATATTAAATTTAATTTAGTCCATTTTTAAATTTAAAGTTATTCTAGAACTCAAATAAATCATTTTAAGATAGTTGGGTTTCTAGTTTCTCAGCTGACTTGTTTGGAGAGAGAACATTTGATGTTATTTTGTAGTTGAGCAATGAAACCCTCGCTTCCTCTATTTACTCTTTAGAAGAAGGTGAAATCTTTATATTTATGCCTATCAATCCATCATAACTTAAAGATTGCCTCATTTTGGGCCCTTATTCTTCTTTATGAGATTCATATCCCATTTTTAATACTTTAACTTTGTTATTAAACTTGCATAAATCCTCTACCATACCTTTTTTTTTCTTATTCATAAGAACCACCCAAATTTGAGACTTACTTTTTGTTTTAAAACCATTCATACCCAAATAGTAAGTCTAATAAAAGCAACAACAGTAATAACAAGTGACAGGTGTTGGAGCTGAGACCTAGGTGTGACCGAGTGTAATAACTGAAAAAAAAGGGGAGAGAAGATCTTGGCGTGTATGTATATATGGGTATATGGAGATGGTTGGAGTGAAACGGTGCCGTTTGGAGAAGGGAAGGGGGAAACGACGTCGTTTAGAGAAGAGGAGGAGGAAACAACGTTGTTTGGAGGAAACGACGTCTTTTAGAGGAGAGAGAGTGAACGATTAGGATAAGGCAGGATGGACGGACAGGATGGGATACAGGTGGGGTATAAATAGGAGACGGGAAGGAAAGAAAAAAAAAGAGAAAAAATGAGGGAAAGGAAAGAAAAAAAAAAGAAGAAAAAACAGAGAAGGGAGAGAACGGGGAGGAAAAAGAAAAAGAAAAGAGAAAGCACAGAGGAGAGAGAGTGGGGAGGGAAAAGAAGGTTCGAGAAAGAGAGAGAGAGGAGCCGAAGCGGAGAGGAACGAGAAAGGAGAGAGAAGAAGAAAGAGGACGGCGACGGTGCAATCAGCAGGAGGAAGGAAGAGGGAAATGGGAGGTACAGTAATTTTAAGTTTCATTTTAGTTGATGTGGATTTGAAAACTTGCCGTAGGTGGAGGAGTTGGTATGACTGGGAGTGGAGGTGTGCGGAGAAGACCATGGAAGGAGAAATAAGAAGAAGTGTGGTGTGGGAGAGAGGCCTGTGAGGGATAAGTGAGGTTGTTTGTGAGCGGGGGCGCATGGAGGAGATTAGGCCGCGGGAGGAGAGGAAGGAAGGACTGCGATGTGTGTGAGTATGGTCTGTGAGGGAGATGAGATGTGGTGTGTGAGCGGGGGCGTATGGAGGAGGCTGGGTCGCGGGAGGAGAGAAAGGAAAGAGTGCAGTGTGTGTGAGCGCGGGCTATGAGGGAGAGGAGTTGGTGAGTGTGAATGGAGGCGCATGGAGGGGGGCCGCAGGAGGAAAGAAAGGGAGATGTGTGGTGTGTGAGTGAGGTTCATGAGAGGGAAAGGATGTGGTGTGAGTACGAATGGAAGTTTGCGGAGGGGACCATGGGAGGAGATAGAGGTGGTTTCGGGATTTGAGAGTGGAATAGTTAGAGTAGGCCGTGGAGGGGGAAAGAAGAAGAGATTTGGCGAGTGAGGAGGATATGTGTAAGGGAGGAAGTAGTGTGTATGGATGTAGAAGATTTGGGAGGAGGAAAGGGAGGCCGTAGACCGTGGGAATGAAGTGTCGGAATAGAGGTGTGGGGGTTCTCTGTGTAGGGAGAGGGGATGAGTGGTGTAGCTGTATGGTGTGAGAGTATGGGTTGTATGTAGGTTGGTATAATTGTTGTAAATGTGATAGTTTTTAAGAGAACGTTATAGGTATGAGTGTGTGAAGTGTTAGTGCGTGTCTTATGCACGGACATGATGATATCGTGTTGAGTTGGTAGCATCGGGGGACGCCGATATTAGTTGCCGCTACCTAGAAAAAGTAAGTTGATTGCCGATAGTGGTGATGGTCGGGGGACTTCGACAGGAAGGGGTTTGGTCGCCGATATTGGTGACAGGAAAGAATGGTATATGGGTGTGTGCGTGGCTTATTAGGGGTCGAGGGATAGGCAGTTTGTTGGTGGTCGCCGATACTAGTGACGGGTAGGAATGGTATCTGTGTGTGTGACCTATTAGGGATCGAGAGATAAGCGGTTTATTGGTAGTCGTCGATACTGGTGACGGGTGGGAATGGTATCTGTGTGTGTGTGTGTGACCTATTAGGGGTCGAGAGATAGACGGTTTATTGGTGAGCGCTGACACTGGTGACAGGTGAGAATGGTATATGTGTGTGTGTGTGGCCTATTAGGGGTCGAGAGATAGGCAGTTTATTGGTGATCGCTGATACTAGTGACGAGTGAGAGTATTTATATGGTTAGGGGACATCGAGGGGCGGTCACAATTAACATGCATTATTTTTTTAAATTACCAAGGATAGGTATTAGGTTAAATAGGTGGAATACATATAGGACCTCTAAGTTCCCTATTGTTGTATATGATGCCTGTAACTTAATTTTTACTGTACTGAGTTATATATACTCACTCCGTATCATTTACAGATGGAGTCGGGATCGGAGTTGCTGATTTTCGAACCTAGCAGATAGAGGAACAAGGCAATAATGTTTTCATCAATTGACATGATTGAGTGTGTAATAATTAGTAGTAGTGTAGATAGTGGGTCTGCTGGGAGTTTGTGAAATTATCATTCACTGTAATATTTCATGTAGGGTTGCAAGTTTATTGTGATTTTGACTAATAAATTTGCGGTAAGGTTTCTATGTTTGTGGTGGATTTAGAATGACACTTTCGTGTGTGATCGCGAAATTATTTTAGACTACGTCCTTAAAAAAAAAAGGGACGTTACACCGAGTGCCAAATGGCATCAATTAGAGCTAAAACTTGAGTGTGAGTGTGAATGTGAGAAAAGGAGGAGTTAGGAGAGGATGTGCGAGTTATAGCTAGTAAAGAGGACCTGAGTCACTTGTCTATTTGAGTCTTGAGGCATAAGGAGACAAGGAGTGATGAGAGGATGACGTGAGTTTGACTAAGGTGAGTATGAGGATGAGAGAGAAAATGCTACATAAGGAGAGTTAAAGAGAAGTAGTGAGGAGAGTTGAAGAGGAGAGACATGATTTATATTGGAGTCGGAGTTGTGGGAATAATGAATATTAGGGTTTTTATTTTTTTTGGCCAATTCGTGCTAGGAATAGGGTAGTTTCGGTTCATTCTGCCATGGATTAATGATAAAAAATAAAATAATTCAGTTCAATTTAGTTCAGATTGAATAAATCAGTCCAATCAAGTTTTCTAATCTAAACTAGGATTTACACACTACTACTCTTATTGTTCTTCTAATCCTTCATCCTCGATCTTCTTCTTCTTTAATCATCATTTGTATCCATGTTATTCAACCCCACAAATACTTTCAACACTAGAATTTAACATCTTTTGATTAGTTTATGTTAATAAAATCTAACATAATAGAGCTAAAAAATAAATATAAATATTATATAAAGCAAAACGAATTAATTTTAAGAAAAATTATTTTCTATTTCGAACACAAACATAAATTATCTGCAAACTTTTCAGGGAGAAATTATATGTAAATTAAAATAAAAATACATATTAGGTAAGATGAAGTAAAATCAATTAAATAAATTAAAATAAGCATGGAGACCAAAAAAATCCACCAACTCATTTTCAACCCCTCTCTCTCTCTCTCTCTCTCTCTACACGTACCTCTATCTATAAGTACGGCATTTATATATATATTATATAGTATTTTTTTTAATGGAGACATTTATTTATTTTATTGGAATTTAATTAAATTAAAAAAGTAATGATTTTTTTTTTTGTCAATATGCACGTACCATCCGCACTCGAATCTGTCCTTCCTCACATACCTTCTTCACCAAATGGAGATGAGTCTTTTGTTACCGATAAGACAATGACTTCCTAAATTACTAATTTGCCCTCCAAAATTTCCTTCTCTTCCTCTCGTCCTTGCTGTCCTTTCTCCGTACGGTACCACCATTTTCACCTGTAATGACCTAATTACCCTTCTTTTTTCCCCTTTTCCAATTCTCTTTTTCTCTCCTTTTTTTTTTTTTTTCTAACCCAATTAATTTAGTAATCCCTTCTTGGGTCCGTTTTCAGAAAATAATTATGCAAGGGGGAAAAATTTATTATTCAACAAAAAAATAGTTAAATATTATGTTAATGAAATAAAATGGGAACTGGAGAAGGGTAAATTTGTAAACAGAGAAAGACAACCATTAAACAAGCAAGGATATTTTTGTAATTTGACCATTCTTCTTCTTCTTCACTCCCTCTTCAACTGCTCAGTATTTTCTGTTAACGGTTACTTCAATACCTAAAAAGATCATTTCCTCACCTCCTGAAATTTACGACCTACTCTTCTCGATTAATTCTTGAAGGTACGATGAAGAGGCAAAAGTCCATAATACTTGTTAACCCCTTTGATCTCCTTTCTGATGAAATCGTCTTCATTATCCTAGATTTCCTCAATCAAAACCCGGTTGACAAAAAATCCTTCTCCTTAGTATGTAAATCGTTTTACTCCATTGAATCCAAGCACCGCAAAACCCTCAAACCTCTCCGTACAGAGCATCTTCCGAGAGTCCTTGTTCGGTATCCAAACGTTACCCACCTAGATCTCACTCTATGCCCTCGTGTCATTGATAATTTGCTATGTGTTATAGCGAGTACCTGCAAATCGACGATCCGTTCAATCGATTTATCGCGGTCTGCGTTCTTTTCAAATTCTGGGCTGACCAGTTTGACAATGAATTGCAAGAATCTGGTAGAGATTGATCTGTCCAATGCAACCGAGCTGGGGGATATAGGCGCCAAGGCTTTGGCGCAGGCGAAGAATCTGGAGAAGCTGTCGTTGGCTAGGTGTAAGCTGATTACTGATATGGGTGTTGGTTGCATTGCGGTTGGGTGCAGAAAGCTGAGGGAGATTAGCTTGAAGTGGTGCTTGGGTGTTGGCGATTTGGGCGTTGGTTTGATTGCTGTTAAGTGTAAGGAGATTCGTAGTTTGGATCTCTCTTACCTACCGGTAATTCTTTGCTGCTTCTTTTCTTTTAGGACGATTAGCTTGTTCGTTTGTGATTGTGATATTATTTTCCCCTGTGGATTACATCTTTTATTCCTTTTGTACTGAGTTGGATTTTGAGTTTTCTTTTGCGTTTTTCGGCCGTAAGATAAAGGGGTTTCTGACAAGTGTTCAACCAATTGTTTTCATTAGTTTCATGGCTCTGAGTTAATATGCTATTGTCTTTAAGCTTTTTCACCCAAGGTAATTGTGACAGTTATGGTTTATGGGTTCATTCAATTTCTGCTGCGGATTGTTTTGGAATGTTTCTATATTTGTTAAGCTTGAATTGATCTGTTCTTTTTCTTTTTTTCTTATTAGTGAAACAGACCTTTTAGAATTGCCCGTAAAATTTACTTTTTCCTTTATATTTTTACTTTGTGCAGATTTCAAATAAATGTCTACCGGACATCTTGAGATTACAGTACCTAGAAGACCTGGTTTTAGAAGGATGCTTTGGTATTGATGGTGATAGCCTTGCGCTTTTCAAGAATGGGTGCAAATCACTTAAGGTATATATTTTTCAGGAGGTTGATGTTTCCTATTCCTGTTGCTTGCAAAAGTGAAGATGGCATCTTAAGAAATTTGTTCCATTTCCGGTTTTTTTTCTTTTTTTTTTTCAT